TCCACTTTATGGATAATCAAATGAGACTTATGATAAACTCTGCGAGCCCAACCAATACACTCCAAGAACCTTCTCAATAAATTTTAATCATATTGTTTTATACAAATATATATATATATATATATATGAATATACATTGTTAATATACAATACTCTAAAAGAGAATAATATATATAATTCAACAACTTCTACAAATTTAATTGATATGTCATTTAATAATAAAATTTTAGAAATTAAAATATAAATATTTTATAATATAATAAATGTCACATCAATAAATAAAAATAGAAATCTTTAGAATTATTCACATTTTTTGTTTTTAAATTTCAAATTTTGTGTGGTTTTAATTTTTAATATTTATATTATATCAACTTAATCCCCAATTTATAAACAATATTTCATTTGATCCATAATATTTAAATTATGTTGATTTGATCCTTAATGTATAAACAATGTTTCATTTTGGTTCCCAAAATTTAAATTATGCTAATTAAATTCTCAGTGGTCATTTGATAAGATTATTTTAGTTAAAATTTTTTTAAAAAAATACTAAAAATACCAAAAACAATTTAACTCATACAAAAAAAGTAAAAAATTTCTTCTCATTCACTCTATTTTTGTATGTTTTTTGGTAAAAAACTTAAAAGTCTTTCCAAAATATATTGATTTTTTTTCGCATTATATTTTAGCAAAAAAAAGTACTAAAAAAATGATTGAAACGCTATGTTATCCTGATAGACTTGATAAAATGATTTTGATAGAGTTTGATGGAGTACAATTTTGTACATATATTATTAAAGGACAAATTGCATATACCCTTTTGAGGTTTAGCAAAATTATAGATACTCTCTGAGGTTTGAGAAATTACAGATACCTCCTAAAGGTTATATTTGCATAACAAATTATAGGGCAATTTGTTATAAAAATATAAACTTCAGGGAGCAATTCGTTATGAAAATATAAACCTCAGAAAAGTATCTGTAATTTTCGAAATCTCAGGAGTATCTGTAATTTAGCTAAACCTCGAGGGAGGTATATGTAATTTGCCCATTATTTAAAATATGGAACAACTCATAATTTTTTATTAATTTAAAATAATATAATTCACAATTTTTAAATACAATTTAATGACCTTTCCGCACCACCACATTTCAAAATAAGTAATGTTAGGGATATTAATTTTTTTACTAAACAAATGATTAAATATCTTATATGGTGTAAGACCAAAAAATAGACTCTATATTTATGTAAGACATTTAATTATTTATTTGATAAAAAATTTAAGACCTATAACATTTTTCTTCCAAAATATGACTGTAAGACCACTAAAAAATATTTTAAAAAGTTGGTAAAAAAATTAACTTTTTGACATTTTATTTTTTTTAATGACTTTTTTAACTAAAAAAATTAAAAAATCAAAAAACTAACTTCTTAATTTGTTGCCAAAAGACTCCTTAATTAAGTCCAAAGCCTCACGCTTTAACATGAACTTGTAATTAACGAACAAGACAAAATCTTGAATAAATAAATAAAAAAAAAGAACAAGACAAAATCATGTGGGACTGTTTTGCATATGGAATATGCTTCTTGCTTCCTAACATGTGGGAAAATGTGTCACCAGAGCCTGGAATTGCTTCTTTTTCATTCTTTTTCATTTTTGCTTTCTAGTAGCACTTATAAATAATTTAATTTATGTTAAAAAAATAAATTAATATTGTTTAATTATAATTTTGCACTATAGATAATTTGACTTTTCAAGCTTATTTGACCCAAAAAAATTAAAAATTAAAATTTTCGTAAGTTATAATTTTTTTTTTTTTAATTTTGAAAACATAGAAAACGTCTATATTAAAACAACAACATATAGAAATAAGACTTTAAATGGCCATAAAAATCATACAACCAGATGAAAAACAAAAATAAAAAACAAACAACAAAATCATCAAAAAACTCTAACTATGATTTAGAAAAAATTACCAATCTTGTCAAAGTTGTGATTTAAAAAGCAAGATATGCATCGAATTAAGAAAAATCTACTTGAAAGCCCGTCGTTCTCGACGCCGCTACCCACCTCCGCCATCGTCGCCGTACTTTGGACACTGCCAGAAACTAGAGTTGAGAAGGAAAGACGCCCACAATGATATAGGAGAAAAGTTGAGAGATGAAGGAAACATTATGGATGTCAATTTGTAACTTCTTTTTTGGTTTAAATTTATTTAAAATCTTAACATATTGACAAAAGAGTCTCATCTCCTTTGTTTTAATTATAATTTTTTACAACATTATGAAAATTTGCACAACAAATAAAAATGTGATTACTTATCAAAAGCTACACCAAATGAATTTGCAACTTATTTTAATTCTTTTAAATTAATAATTAAAACAGCTATAATCATAAAAATTAATTTCTAAGTGATTCCAAACGGAACCTTTTTACAATTTCTCTCTTCATTTTGGAACACATCAAAAGGAAAGTGGCCATAGAAGGAGAAAGCATATGTGCACAGACGATTTTCACAAAACTGGACACATATATCTGTCCATTATGTAAAAATTTTCCTAATAAAACTACTTCAAAAATTCACCTAATTTGGTGTTATCTATCAATATAAAACCATAAACCCAACATGGTGAGTTATAAATCTACAAATGTCTGTTTTCTTTCCTTTTTATTTTTTTTTTATCAATCATAAATCTACATATGTCCCCAACTTGAAAATTTTCTTACATCATTAATGAGGCAGGAATGGTTGTGAATTGGTTGGAAACAAGTACATTCTTTTTCTCCTACATTGCTTCTCCAAACAAGATTCATGTAAAAACTCATGGAAACAGGAAAGCTCTTCTGCTGAAACCAGTCACCTAAGAGCACATTAAACAACATTAATTCAAGAAGCAACTCTCTTGGCTAGGGCAAAATCCGACAGAGGGAAACATTCTTGCATTGTTTCAGAGTCAAAAATCAAATATGCAAAAAAAGAAGGTGCTTATTTTATGCCAACATGGGAGGCCACTAAAGACCACCCAAATCGATTTTGCACCAAATTTTATATGAGTTTAGTTTGGTGTACATAACCATTCAATGATTCTACCAATTCAAAAGGATACGTTTTGGGGTTTAGAGAAATCTAACCCAAAAACAAAAGCTTAGTGAAGAAGAGCAAATGATCCTCAGGCTGAACATCAAAGAGAATTCCTTGACTATCTCTTGTAGAACTTTCAGAAATAACAGTAAGGGATGTAAACAGAAACCTATTTAAGAAGACCTACCCATGTTGTCTTTCATCCCTGCACAGTGGCCGCGGTCCATAGCCCGTCATATTTCTTCTTCACGATACATATCACCAATTTCGCACATCAAATAGCCTTTCATCCCTGTTCTTAGCATTTTTCCAAGAAATTTTCATATAAATGGAAAAATGTGCACTATAGCTATTTGATCATTGTTTCATTGATAATTCTATTTGACATTTGATAAGACCCTGGTTTTTGAAATAGCACAAACGAGGGATAAGGAAACAAATGGCTTCCATACACAAACAAAAATAACCATCCATCCCATGTTCCATTCCATTCTATCTGGAACACATAAAAGTGACCAAAAAAACTATCAAAACCATTTAGCAAGCAATCTATGAAAGTTATATCTTCTTTATAAGCATAAAACAATCACTCCTTTCTGGATTAAAAGGTAACGATAAACTCTTCGACAGGACTCTCGGTAGAAAAATAAATCTGCATGCATTCTAGCATGAATGGAAAGTCTATCTTCATCCTATAAAACGGGGTTATAACTTCAAAACAATAACAGTAACTCATCTGTTCAGCCTGGCCACTTTTTTGTTATATTTCAAAAAGAAATATGATGTCAACATAGAAAGAAAAAGAACTACTATTGATGCACAAATATTTAACAAATAATTCAGGAAAAATGAAAATAAATTATTGCATTCGACATCCACGTGCAAGTGATACAAAAAAAAAAAAAAAAAAAATTGGTTTAGCAATACATACCTTGAGAGCTCATATCACCGTACATCATTCACTAAAGGAATGTTCTGTTTATGAGTTAAAAGTTCAAGGTGCACGGAAAGCAAGTAAACAACATAAGAACAACACTATTATAGCTATTGCTTCTTCACAAGCAAAGGTCCAACGTTATCTCCATTAGCTTTATTGTGCTTCACATGGCTTCCATCACACAGAGGAAAAGTTCCAGACCTCCAACACCTTCACCACAAATCCACAAAAGTTTTAATTACTGAAACCCAAAGGGCTGCCATGTTCTACCATGACAAAAATTTATCAAGAAAACAAACAAAATGAAATAACAAACTAAAACACATTGCAAAAGACAATTCTACTAGTTAGTGAGGCACTATTTTTTACCCCTTATAAAGGCATCTTGCTATATTCTCTCGTGGTTTTCAAAAACATCCTGTGGTGGTGAGGGAAGTAAAATCATTCATGTGCCGGATGGTGTAATGGCAGTGATGGAATAAGGTTTTCATTGATAAGAAGACTCCTTTAAATGGTAGAAGAATATTCTCTGAAATTTACAATTTATAGTAATACTTTGCAAAATTAACAACAAAAAAGAGAGGAAATACTGGTTAATAATAACATATTAGAAATGTAGCAGGCAAGCTTCTTGAGACAACGGCCATGTAACAAGATAATTGAATTCCAATGCTAAAAATATTACTAGCAAAAGAAAAATGGCTCATGTTGCATCTAATGGTGCAGCTCATTCCATTTAAAACTTTCAATTTTGCGTTAGAATGAGAAATAACATTCAGGATCAACCATAGTGTTTGTTTTAATATATCAGGTTCATTAATGCATCTGTTAACTTGCTTGAGTATTAATTTTCAAAACATTTCCAAAGGAAAACCCACACACACTCAAAAGAACTTGCCTAACATTTGGGGACTTGGAAGCTAGATTGTGGATGATTATTTTTTTTAAGTGAAACAAAAAAAAGGGATTTCGAGTGTGGAAAAAAAAAAAAAAAATGGTTTAGCAATACATGCCTTGAGAGCTCATATCACCGTACATCATTCACTAAAGGAATGTTCTGTTTATGGGTTCAAAGTTCAAGGTGCATGGAAAACAAGTAAACAACATAAGAACAACACTATTATAGCTATTGCTTCTTCACAAGCAAAGGTCCAACATTATCTCCATTAGCTTTATTGTGCTTCACATGGCTTCCATCACACAGAGGAAAAGTTCCAGACCTCCAACACCTTCACCACAATTCCACAAAAGTTTCAATTACTGAAACCCAAAGGGCTGCCATGTTCTACTATGACAAAAAATTATCAAGAAAACAAGCAAATGAAATAACAAACTAAAACACATTGCAAAAGACAATTCTACTAGTTAGTGAGGGCACTATTTTTTACCCCTTATAAAGGTATCTTGCTATATTCTCTCGTGGTTTTCAAAAAACATCCTGTGGTGGTGAGGGAAGTAAAATCATTCATGTGCCGGATGGTGTAATGGCAGTGATGGAATAAGGTTTTCATTGATAAGAAGACTCCTTTAAATGGTAGAAGAATATTCTCTGAAATTTACAATTTATAGTAATACTTTGCAAAATTAACAACAAAAAAGAGAGGAAATACTGGTTAATAATAACATAATAGAAATGTAGCAGGCAAGCTTCTTGAGACAACGGCCATGTAACAAGATAATTGAATTCCAATGCTAAAAATATTACTAGCAAAAGAAAAATGGCTCATATTGCATCTAATGGTGCAGCTCATTCCATTTAAAACTTTCAATTTTGCGTTAGAATGAGAAATAACAGTCAGGATCAACCATGGTGTTTGTTTTAATATATCAGGTTCATTAATGCATCTGTTAACTTGCTTGAGTATTAATTTTCAAAACATTTCCAAAGGAAAACCCACACACACTCAAAAGAACTTGCCTAACATTTGGGGACTTGGAAGCTAGATTGTGGATGATTATTTTTTTTATCAAATTTGAGAAAAAGGGATTTCGAGTGTGGATAAAACATTGCCGAAAAGATGACGCTCGTAATTCAAGTCATCCGATCCAAACCCGTTTACGCTTCAGCTAATATGATTACCTGCATCTTTTTCCTTGACAATCAAACTTTTTACTCAAATTTGGAATCAAAATAGATGAAAATTTTGGTAGGGTTGGAGATGAAGTGGTCCATAGCAAAGCAATTTTTCACTCAAATTTATGCTTAAATCTGAGTTTGTCCATTGGACTGATCCATAGCAAAGCAAACAAAGGTGGTTTTACTAAAATTTTAGAGTAATCACAAATATTTAGATGACAAGGCTATGCAATAGTTGAACACCGAGGATATCTAGGTAAATAGACCTCAATAGCGTTGATGAGAGGCTTGGAAAGTTCGGAGACGATAACAGAGTCAACCACTTTCTCTTCGGACTTTCTGATCTCTGGATTTATGGACTCTGCTCTCACCACCGCCCTTTGCCTCCTGTGGGTCACAGCTCCGCCGACTCTGCTTGGCTTCTTCAGCCCCAATCCGCTGTAGTAGGAGAACCCAGTACTCACCATACTCAAAGCACACGCCATCCAATCCTCTCTCTCTCTCTCTCTCAAACGCACGCACACAAAAACACAGTGAAGAAGGAGTATAGACTGGGTTGGTTCTGAAATTGTGGAGACCACGCTCCTCTCCTTTTTGATCAATTGATAGTGTTCCGAGTGGACGACAACATAGCCACGTCATTTGTGGTATGTTTGGTATTACAAATTGTCAAATGAATAATTCTGGTGAATGGTCTGAAATTATGCTTTTCGATTGATCGGCCAGATAACACTTGTCTATTGCGCATGTCATCTTTTTAACTGCGAAAGTTATCTTGTCGATTGCAATTGTAAATCTTTTTATCCGACAATTGAAAGTCAAAATTTGAGAGCAAAATGAAATTCGAACTACCAATCATGATTGTTGTTAAATTATTGGGTAAATTCTGTCATTAGTCCCCTAGTATAAAGCCAAGTAGGTTTGGACTAATTTAATCTATATAAAAGTTAAAATATATTAAAAAATTAATAAAACAAAATATTATATTTAAATCATAATTATTTAATTACAAAAAAAATTAAAAATTTTTCTAAACATAATTTTTTTAGCCATGCTAACAAGCCTATTTTGAAAAGTAGATTAAAAGTTGATTTTTTAATTTTTTTTTTTTGACTCTTTTTTTAAAAAAATGTGTAAAAAAATAAAAAATTGATGTGACTCAAAAAAAATAAAAAGATAACTTTTAACCAAATTCTCAAAATAAGAATGACGACTAGGTGTAAAGTAGTGTTATCCTAATATAAAAATTAAACCCACTTTTCAAGTTAAATGATCAATCAATTAATCACTCTCATGTTTTATTTCTCTCTTTCATATCTTATCAAAATATCAACCAATCATCTTACTTTTACATTATTGGATCTCGAAAGTGAGTCTAAAAAGTAGACTTGTATATCATTTTATTCAAATGAATTATCACTTTAATTCGTGTAATTTTAGTTTTAATAATTTAAATCTTATACTTTTAATTTTGTTACAATATTACTCATCTATTATGTGTTGTTAACATTTTGAATGAAAAAAAAATTAAAAAATAAAAATAAAAATCATGTACAAAACTAACTATAATAGTAATCTCTATAATTTCTTTAAAATTTCACTTTAGTTTCTTAAATTTTGCACATGATTTTTTTAGTTAAAATTTGTATCTATAAATGATAGATGTATCATATTGTAACAAAATTGAAAGTTTAATGTTCAAATTATACAAACTAAAATTATGATGACCAAAATAATTTTTTGCACAATTATATAATTTACCCTAAATTTTTCGATCAATCTCCGGCATGGGAGAGAAGCAACAATACTTCTCAATTTGTTTATAAGGTCATTATAAATTTCTTGTTTTATGGGTTTATTACGAGTTTCATTTCGATGATTAAAATTGTTCATTTAATATTTTGTAAAATATCATACTTTTTAAAATCGTAAATCAAATTATGCTTGGAATACTTATAAGATGAATGGTTTGAATTGTTAAAATAACATTTAATAAAATGCCATACTTTAAAATCATAAATTCAAATTATACTTTTATTTAAGGGCATGGCTTCTGTCCAGTCCTTAATCAGATTGGACCGTGCTGTTGGGCCCGTAGGGGCCCACCACGGGTATCTGTAGACACCCCATTTTTGACCGACCTTAAGACTTTGACATCACCAGTTGAACGCCTGGTGATGTTGCATATTGTGCTCGTTCAGAAGTTTCCGAGTTGCGGCCGTGAGCCCTGCCTCCGGACTTCCGAACCCTCTTTTGTGCTTTGCCTCGGTTTGCGAACCAAGCTCGGTTTTCTTTGTTTCTTTTCCTGAGGGGAGGGAGAGGTCCTTTAGACCATCTCTCAGTGGCCGTGGGCTACATTCTGTGGCCGTAGGCCATTTTGCCCATTTCGGAGTCCGGTTTTCGATTTTTCGGGACCGTCAGGCCGTGTGTCTCGGTTCGGGACCGCCTAACCATCTCCATTTGCTCTGATTTTTGGCATACTTCCTATCTACTCCCTTTTGAGGGACACTGGGGTCTGAGAAACCCACTTCGAGGTCGAATACCATTTTTCGGTGTTTAACGGGCAGTTTTCGGGGCCCCGAACTGCGTGTTTTGGCCCCCGAACATTCGTTTTGCATCGGTTCTCATTCATTTTTGGCAGGTACCTCTGTTTTATCACTAGGAAGGCCGTAGAAGGGTGGGAGGCCAGCAATTATTGCAGCAACCAGTTTTTTACTCCTCCGGCGCCCTCCGACGCCCGTTTTTCGCACTTCCGGGCCAATGTTGAACACCTTGGAGCCATTTTCTTCAAACCCAAACCACATATTTGTGATGTACACACATGGGAGGACCCTAAAAGTTCATGGCCGGCCACTAATGCTCCTTGACCCTTTTGAACCCCTCATTCCGGGCTAATGTTGAACACCTTGGGGCCATTTTCTTTCTGAACTTTAACACATATTTGTGTTGTACACACATGGGGGACCCTAAAGTTTAGGCGCACTATGCTCTTGACCTTTTGAACCCTCTAAAATTGGGCTTGTTCTCTCTCCTGTTTTAGAATTTCCAAATTCGAACCAGGTTGTGAAGAGGAGACTGGAGCAAAATATGTGGTGGCCGCCACTATTCAAGTGTGACCATTTTGCCCTAGCTGGCGGCTAGGGGGGTGGCTGCGCAACTTTCAAGCCAAAACAGCCGCATTTCTTGTCAGGAACTTTACAGCTGTGTAGCCTTCCCAGAAAATATCCCAATCGGGATATTTTTTGTGGGAAAGCTTGCCTCCTTTTCCCACCTTAACCCTCCTTTGGTCCTTATAACCAGTGCCATTGTTTGTATGGGTTAGAAATTGTCTTTCAAGCTCAATCATACTCCTCCATCCTTCTCATCTCCTTAAAAACCTTAAGTCCTACACCTGTTTTTCTCAACCACAGCTCTACATCACCACTTCATTACAGCAACAGGAGGTTTCAAAGGCTAAGGAGCTGCAATTGGTCCAAGAAGCACAAAGACTTGTCTCAAGGGTGAGTTGCCATTTCTCTTTTTTTGAGCTTTTCTTTGCAATATTTCTTAGCCTCTCCTTCTTAACATTTGAGCTCCGACCAACAACTGAAAGTACCTTTTTGAGCTCATTTTCATGTCTCATTAAGGGTCAACCTGTTTTGACCCTCCTTTGCACTTGCTTCATTATCACCTAAGAGTCATTTTCTGCATATATTTTTAGCTTGTGTGTGATTATTTTGGAGCATGTTTATAAACTGTAAGTAGGATTATTTGAGCCCTCTTAACATTGAAGAAGGTCAAACTGTTTGGGACTTTATGTTGTATTCCTTTATATCCTCTTTTGGTCCATTTTTGTATGCCTTGGCAACCCCTGATGTTGCTGTTTTTTGGACCTTGGTCCGAACTAAAAGTGCTTATTTTGTCCTGACATGTTTTATTAAGGTCTTTCTTGTTTGATGAATTTTTTGTATACCTCATGTTATACCACTTTTGAGCCTCTTTTTTGCATTGCTATTCTAGCATATTTGTGTACTGTTTTTGGGCTGCATAAACTGTAAATAGTCCTATTTTTGGGTCCCTCTTCAACATTGTTTGCAGGACCATAACTGTTTGGGGCCAGCGCTATAGTTTTCTTTTTAATCTCAGTTTAGGGCCATTTCTTGCATCTTGTTTTGCCCTACCTAATGTTGCTGTTTTGGCCATGTTTATAACTGTGAAAGGCTTTTGGGACTTCCTAGCTTCTGTCTTTGCATTGCATTTCATATGTGCATTTGATGTTTGCAATAGCTATAGGCCATTCTCGGGTGCCTAGAATTGATTCGGGACTATTCATGCATTTGGTGTCATTTCGCTCATTTCGGGATGATTTCCCATATTTTCTGTGAAAATTCTATAGAATGATGCTTTGCATTTTAAGCCAATTTGCAATTGCATATACCTGCCTCGATGCGTGCCGTGTGCACGCATTCGAGGCACTTCATTTCATCCACCGGCTCTCTTATTGTAAGTGTGCAGGTCTCACTCATGTTGGTAAAGCCGTATACATTTATGTCATTGCATTGCATTTGCTCGCCTCGTTTTGCGTGCGTTGTGCACGCATTCGAGCACCTCCTTTTTTATCTACGGCATCCTATGTGAGTGTGGCTGAGCGCTCACATGCATGTTGGTATAAGCCCAATCATCGTTTTTTGTCATTTGCATTGCACTATGCATTGCTCGGCTTGCGTGCCGGTGCAGCATGTTCAGGGCACTCATTTCATCTACCGGCCTCTTATGAATGTGGTGTAGCTCTCATATGTTAGTATAAGTCATGTTTGCTTCTATATGCATTTTCAATGCCATTGCATCGCAATCGATAGATTCTCGTTGCGTGCCCGTGTGCACCATTCGAGACATCCATTTCATAGATCGTGATGTTAGATAATACTTAGTTGCATTTCATGCATAATCATCATTGTATCGTGTCGGGATAGGAGTTAGCCGGGGCACGGAAATAGGTATTCGTCTCCGAGTGACGAAATGTCTCAATTCCCAGTCACCGCGCTCGCATTATCATGAGGATTGGTTTTAGCGTAGTTTCATTGCATTCATCCTATATTGAGTCTGCATTTCGACTTCCTCGCATCATCTCATAATCGTGAATTGGTAGCAGATGATCAGACATCATATTCGTGCAAATACATTGCTAGCGCCTCTTTTCCTGCTACTCTGTTGAGCAAAAGAAAATCAACAACTTTTCGGAGCTCGGCACGCTTTCAAGAATAACTGCTGAAACAGAGGCTAATTGGGGCATCC